ATTCGTGGTACATTTGAATTGCCAATGCATGCATGGTGTGCTTGCTCCAGGAGAGGCTGCAGAGTGTGTGTGTGCAGTGATAAACATGGGACATGGCTAACCCGTGCAATAAAGTGCTGCAGTGAAATGTGGCACACCTGCTCTGCACACGCTCCAGCCCAAAACATGTAGCTACTGCTAGAGCAGCCCTGAATACACTCCAGTAAACACCCCTGAGACAAGAGAGCTAAAGAGCAGCACTAGACACGTGCCAAAGAGCAGCGCTCTAATCTTTTTGTGGTTGTGATGCATGTGGGGTGTTTTAGTTCTCTGCCCTTCAGCAGCTCCGTAGTGCAGTCAGAGGTGATGTAGCCATGCCCCAGTAGTACAGCACAATAGTTAATTATCCAGGTCATAAACTACTTTCTTACTCCAACCAGCTGATGCTTCCAACCTAATCAAGCAGGGGAGCATAGCTTCTATGTACAACCTAGGAAGATTTGTATGCCTGTTTGAAAGTCTCTTCCCAGAATCCTGGGTATGCTGTCAAGGCTGTTGCATAGTATGATGGAAACCAGATTAAGCTAATACACATGGATAATTTGATTGTGCTCAGAGTTTTGGGGCTGGTCTACACAAACTGGAGCCAATATATCTCACTGAGCTGTAGTCTGTGACACCTGCAGTCATTTCAGTGCAGTGCTGCAGGTGGGCACTTGTGTTTCAGAATCAGAGTGCTCTACTTGGACATAACTTCAATTGGTAAAAAAAAAAAAAGTACTTAATTTAAAGAACAGTTTTATTCTGAAACAAGTGTCTGAGGCTGAGATCATGACAGGTATGAATTATAGCTCAGTGACATCAGTTCCAGTTTCTATGTAGATGTCAAAGCAGCACTTGTAAGCAGCTGGACTATAGTGTACCTGGGCAATGTCACTCTTGCTATTTTTAATAAAACCTTGAGAGTGAAAAGGGGACTGTGGGGATGCTCTGTGTTAATCCATGGCTTGTAAAAAGACTCAAAACAATAACTGGGTATTGCCTTTCTGGATTTTAGGCTTTTCTTGAAAGATCCAATAATGATGAGTTATTTGTACATGGCTATGTTTTACATAACTCTGATCCTACTGGCAAGACAGGTAATGATTTTAAAAGCAAAGCATCCTTTCCTTTTTCACTCTGTAATAGTTTATTTAAGTAAAATGCACCAAAATACTGTTTTAATTTTAGGGAGTCTGGGAACAGGTGTTTGAATCTATATTCTGTCCCAGAACCTGGTGAGGAAACCTTTTATTTTTGGGGAAGAGAGAGGGAGAGTTCCCATTTTTCATTAGTATTGAGGCATTCAACTTTTGGATACAATTTTTCACAAATGGCTTCAAGATAGTGCTAACAGAATTGTGCAGCCAGATTCTACATCAGGTAATCCTGTAGTGAGGGTGTTATTTTAATATGCTGTTACCCAGCCTGACTTGGTATGTCATGAAGAATGATTTGAAATTGATGTCATTATTATTTAAAATACAACCATGACTTAGATGCGCATGTTGGACTGGGTACATCTGACAGCACTAGAATTGCCTACACAGTTACCTTTTGACTTGTGTACATATAGATTTATGTATTCACAGATGTGGGTATAATTTTTCAATGAAAAATTAAAGGCCATTCAGTTACACCATCAGCTGAACAAACTTGCAGTCTACATTGATTGAATTGAGACTAGTCCATTTTACTTTGCGAGGTAGGTGGATTTAACTTGTACCTTTTTTTGTTTGCAGATTGACTATTACTGCCGACTGGATTGCCTATGGAAGAATAAATTTAAAAAAGAACACGAACAGTTTGAAACTATGGAGAATGTTAACAGGCTCTTGCTGGAAAATGTCCTTCCAGCACATGTTGCTGCCTATTTCATTGGTGAAAAGCGAAATGAGGTATGCTTAGTTTACTGGGCTGGTAAGGACAGTAAATAAGACTTTCAGAATACCTCCTGCACCAGTAGAATGGGGGTTCAAAGCTGCTGCCTGTCCTCAGTCCCATCCTTTTTTGTCCAAAGTCAAGCACCCCAAGAGCTTTCCAAATTAAAGGCTCTGCTACCAACCTGGCATTACAAAAACTGTTAACTTTTACATTGGCAGACACTAAGTCCATTCAGAGCTGATCCTTGGCTTTGGGTGGACAATTGGTTCAAAGGCTATGAACAGACATCACATTTATCCCTGGTTAAAATGTTTCTGTGTTTGTCCCAGGACAAAAATATCCCAGGACTGACGTGCACACACATTACCCTTCTAATCAGGGTTTAGTGACGGGCTGACTGAAGTGATGCTTTTCTGTCATTGATCCAATTATGCTGTCTTGGGATAACTGTACAAATGTACTTTGTAATGCCCCAGAATAAATGGTTACTAGCTCTTATCTGGAAACTTGTTTTTAGGATTTATCCTGGGATAAATATGGCACCCTAGAAATCTGTGAAATCTGTTTGCAGTCTAAAAGACTCACCTTTCTCCCCAGACCACATTTTACAGAGCTGATAGCCTTAATTTTTACAGGAAATTAATTGAGGTGCAGATAGCATCTCCTTAGCAACACTTCAAGAGGAGATGGTAAAAAGAAGTCATTTTGTGACTATTAGACACCTCCCTACACCAGCACTTCATCACCTGCTCACTGAGCCACCGGTAGAGTTTTGGGCTAAGAAAGTAGTCAGTGTCCAGAACATAGGTAGGGGGTGTGGTGGGAGGATATTCTGGATAGTGATTTTCTCAACAGTTTTGGTAAAAGAAATGTAGGAAAGTATATTCCTTCTGTTAATGTGGCCACATTCCAGTGGTTTAGGTGGCTTCATTTCTAGTTGCAATTGTTTTTGAGAGTACCAAACAGCTGAATGTTGTTTTGGTTACAGAGCATTAGGTTACAGTGGTGACTGTGAAATTGCTCTTGCTTTTCCACAGGACTGGTACCATCAGTCATATGACTGCGTCTGTGTCATGTTCGCATCAGTACCTGACTTTAAGGTATTCTATACTGAGTGCGACGTTAATAAAGAAGGACTGGAGTGCTTGCGGCTGTTGAATGAAATCATTGCTGATTTTGATGAGGTATTTAAGTTTCAAATGAGCATAGCTTGCATTTCATGTTTGTTACAATATTAAAATTCTAGACACTTCGGTGTAGGAATCTTGAAATTAGAAGAAAATTAGTAAATTGACCCTGATACTCTTAGGCAGAAGCCAAGGTAGAGGTGCACCTTATAGGCTAACTGAATCAGAGATGCATGAACTCAGTTCAGCCTTCAGTTTTGGAAAGTAAAAATTCTATTTTATGTTCTCTTGCAGTTAGAATCCTTTAATAGTACTGTATGAACAAGTATCAGTGTTTTTCCCCCTGAATTTGAATACTCTTGTATCTGAGATTTCATTTTTGCCTTGTGGGATTTACTTAAGTCTGTTACAGAGAATACAATATCATTGATAAGAACATATTGATAGATGAAGAATTAGTCTTGATTTCTATAATTTAATTTTCTTCTCACAGCTGTTGTTAAAACCTAAATTTAGTGGTGTTGAAAAAATCAAAACCATTGGAAGCACTTACATGGCAGCAGCAGGCCTCAGTGTTACACCAGGCCAAGAAAATAATCAGGTATGTTACCGTTTTAGAAAGCATTTAGAATTCCACATGTCCTTATCTGAGTCTGGACAACACAAGTAATGGGGAAAAAAGGAGGGTCAAATTTACCAGCAGTCACAAGTGGTGATCCAAAAGTGCATCTTACAATGTGTGTTATAAAAATAAACATATCTAAAACAAGGTTTTCATTCCTTTTTTGGGCTCTGGAGTCATGAACAAATCCCATGGTTTTAACACAAGACCCACGACTATGGCATGAGATTGCAGTCCTAGGCACAGCAGGAGACATCATTCTTTTTCTAGCTGGCTTCTTTTGAAATCAGTTTGCTGTTTTGTAATTTCCCAGTCCTTTGCACTGCAGACCAATATAGGAAATTTCATATCTCCAATAGCTTTCATTTATCTTCAGTTTTCACAAACAGATGTTATATATCTGAAATCAGTGCAGTTTCCTTCAAATCGTTGAGAATCTTTGTATCCAGCATCTGAACATTTCTGGACACAACAGAATAGTTTCAGTTGGAGGCATTCAAGAAATTACCTACCTCAGGTTATGAAAGAAACCTGATTAGTATATTTGCTATGTAAGAGGCAACCTGTTACAAAAGTGTTAGCTGAGGTAGTGAAAATCAGAGCTGAATTTCAAACACCATGACTCGGGGACTTTTCAAACTGGGCATTTAGTTCAGGCTCATGCCTGCTGTACCCTATTACATGAGAAGATAGTATGAGGATGTATGTGCTGTTATACAAGACTTTTTTTTTTTTTTTTTGCTTTAAGTCTGGGAAAGTAGCCAGGATTATATGCATCAATCAGATCATGCTCTCCTCCTGCCAGCTGGAGCAATTTACTGTATTCTCCTCTGAACCAAGCTGTGATTTGTACCCAGGTGGTGTTTTACTTGAAGCTTGATGAGAATGGGTGCTCTATTCCATATAAATTATTTGTTGACAGTCCTGGACTGCATCAGAAAACAGTATTTCAGTAGTAGCTTGACATGACTTTGTATGCTGTTAAGGCATTAATGTATATGATAACATTTTCTAGGACAAGGAGAGACAGCATGCTCACATTGGGATCATGGTAGAGTATGGAATTGCCTTGATGAGCAAACTGGATGGCATCAACAGACATTCCTTTAACAATTTCCGCCTACGTATTGGTAAGTTCAGTTCATGAAGGATTTGAATGTGACAAGCTCGGTAAAAAACTAGAGCTGGGGAAAATTATTAGAAAAGTTAGGCTGCTGGGTACCACTGAATTGGTCATAATGTGACTAGCATAGTGGTGTGGCATATCATATAAATACTTAACTGAGCTAGACCATTTTCTTATCCAGCTTTTAAATTTGGCAAGCAGTGAGGATTCTGTATCTGCTTTGGGGAAACAGCTGTGCAGCCTTGTGATTTTGGCAGTCCTGCACTATTCAGGCATTAGTGTTCCTGCTTTGAGCTTTGCTTGGGGCACAGTGACAATGATGCTGTAGCTCGCTAAGCTGAGTTTGGGAAAACATGGCTTGGAGTCAAGAGGAGAGGGAAAGCCTGGTGGTGGGGTTGGCTGATTACAAAGCAACTTGAGAATTGTTTTACATCCATAAAGTGTAGAAAGATTAGACTTTGCTTATAGCACAGGTTTGTGAGTCATGAAACCTAGACTGTGTGCTCAGTTCTGCTGCAAACTCCTGACACTAGGCTGGAAAGCTCACTTCCGTACTCTGCACCTCTGTATTGTCATCTGCAGAACTACCTGCAGATACAAGCAGACCTAGACAGGCTGGCATGTTGGGCAGAACAGAACCAGATGAGGTTCAATGTAGAGAAATGCAAAGTGCTGCATCGGGGAAGGAAGAACCCACACCTACAGGCTGGGCATCGCTAACCTGACCAGCACTACAAATGAAAGGAATCTGGGGGTAACAATAGACCCCAGTATGAATATGAACCGTCGGTGCGATGCAGTAGCCGCTAGGTCCAATAAAACTCTGGCATGCATCAATCAATGCATCTCCAGTAAATCCAAAGAAGTGATTCTCCCACTTTACTCAACATTGGTGCAGCCGCAGCTGGAGTACTGCATCCAGTTCTGGGCGCTGCACTTCAACAGAGACGTGCTAAAGCTTGAGAGGGTCCAGAGAAGAGCCACCTGCATGATCAGGGACTTGGCAAGTCACACGAGGAGAGGCTAAGGGATCTGACTCTTCAGCCTAAAGAAAAGAAGGCTGGGAGGGGACCTGATTGCAGATTACCGCTATAGCAGAGGCGCACATCAGGGGCTCAGTGAACAACTGTTCACCAGGGTGCCCGGGGGGAAGGCCCCAAACTCCTGAAAAATAGTTTCAGGCTGAACATTAGGAAAAACTTCTTCACAATTAGGGTGTCCAGACTATGGAACAAGCTCCCTGCAGAGGTGGTGCAATCATCTACCCTAGAGGTCTTCAAGAGAAGACTGGACGCTCACCTGACTGGGGTCACCTGATCCCAGACGTCTTTTCTGCTCATGCAGGGGGCTGGACCTGATGATCCTTTGGGGTCCCTTCCAGCCCTATGATTCTACAATAATGGTGACCTGCCAAAAGATCAAAGTAACTACTGAGACCCAAATCTACTGGACCTATACTGATATGTTTTTGTTTATATAGGGATAAACCATGGGCCTGTGATAGCTGGTGTGATTGGTGCCCGCAAACCTCAATATGACATCTGGGGTAACACTGTCAATGTTGCTAGCAGAATGGAGAGTACTGGTGAACTTGGAAAAATCCAGGTAAGAACGTGGGGATTCTAGATGTTTCTGGAATATTACTTCTAGAATTTTTATTGGTTAGGACTCAAAATAAATATCCACTGAGTTTCACATCAGTTTCTAATTCTGTTCACTCACAGGTTACAGAAGAGACCAGCAGAATATTACAAGAACTGGGATATGTGTGTGAATGTAGGGGGCTCATTAACGTCAAAGGCAAAGGAGAACTTAGGACTTATTTTGTGTGCACTGACACAGCCAAATCCCAAGGTGCTGGATTGAACTGAGGCTGTAACAAAGTCTGTCAAATGGGTTTTGAACAACCACATTGCTTCTATGAAGACTTGGTATTTTTCTCCTTATATAAAGGAGATTATTCTAAATGTGTGCTAATGGTCCACCTGCATCTCAAGAGACTGACTTATAAAGAAGACAAGTCCTGAAAGTTCTTACAGGAAATGGTTGGCTTGTCTGTTCCTATGATAATTTGAAGACTTACCTGGTATGGCCTTGCCGTATTTCCTGTTACTTCCTTTCCTGCTTGCAAGATAGGAGACTGAAAGCCTCAACAAGGACATACATGAACGCGTTATTTAACTCAGTCAGGTGAAAACATTTCACTGCCTCGTTGTTAGATCTGCTAACAGTATTGCATTTGTCATGAACATGAAGTGACAGTAAGCTTTGGGCGCAGCATATCCTTCAGTTGCGTTTTCTTGAAACAAAGCAAACTTTCAAGACAGAAGCCTGCTGAACGGAGGGACGGACACAAGAAAATTACAGTTTATTATGTGGCAATTGTGCTGTTGCTTTTTCATAAGAGTAATTATGCCGTAGTTTGTATTGGGTTTCCCCTGGTAACCAAACTGATGTGTGCCTCTCCTACCTTAGTCACCAAATTTACACAATTTCTTTCTTGATGAACAGTTGTACTTTTATCCAGAGTTGGTTCAAAGAACTTACATCATGGGATACATGTACCTTGGTCTTTCACCCTGCTTTTTCCACTATTCAAGGAAGATGAAGGTTTTTTTGAATAACGTAATATCTACTGGCAGGAAGTTGCTTTGACTTTCAGAATCAACTTCGAAGAAATCCAGCATGCGAAAGCCCATTTAGACCTGCATGTTGATAAGATACAGTAAATGATAGCTGCAGAGAGATGCAGGCCTTCCATTCATCACAGTCATGCCATTGCATGTTGCATATTTGCCAAGTTAATATTGAGCACTGTGCTCTTGTTTGGTTTCTGCTACCTGAAGAGGGCAGTCCCTCAAATTGATAACCTAAGATAAACTTAAATCAGGTGCCCTGGTTACAGCATGTTTTCTCTTTGCCACCCTGTCCAGACTAATCATTATGCCTCTGTTCTCAGAGCTGTGCAGGTTGTAAATTACATTGTCACCTATTTTTATTATGTCCTTCACAGAATATATGCCACCAGCATCTTTTTTGTCTGATCATTTTGTTATGTGAACATTCTCGGTGAGACTAAGACAATTCTAGAAGAGCGGCTACTCCAGCTGCCCTCCCTGTGTCAGAATTCCCTGAAAGCTCGGGCTGAATCTGACTAGTGTTTAAAATTCATCTTGGGGCTACCGTTCTCTTCTAGTGTAAATACCAAGTAGTTGATGATCAGCTATAGACTTTTTACTGCTAGTGAGACATCAGTCTTTCAAAGATGGTCTGAATAGATATTGATATACAGTATCTAGTAAAATGAATGCACAGTTATAGTCTTGGGTTAATACTAAGGTAATTCCCTCTTTAGAGCTAGACAGCAAACCATTTTGGGTGCCTATACACATGCAGGGAGGCTGCTCTGATGCACTGTAATTACAGGGTGTTGGAGTAGACTCAATTAATTGAGTCTGCTGGAGCGTGGTAATTACTGTGCTCCAGCAGACTACAGCATCATATGCATCAATGTCCCTGTACTGAAAAATGGTGGTGGGGGTGGTTTAACTAAGGCTTGTTCAAAGAGCTTTAGTTAAAGTGTCCCTGTGCTCCTTTTTCAGCACAGGGACGCTGATGCATGTGATGCTTTTCGCGCTTTAATTAGAACGGCTCTCAAAGCCACTCTAATTAAAGCCCCCCGCCCTGCAGCACATCTATAAACTCCCTTTAGTTTTAGAATATGTATGAAGAAAGTTTCCTTTTTTTATTTAGTTAAAATTCCTGGCAATGGGAGTCTTTTGAAAAACTAGATAGAACAGTAATGAAGTATATCATTCAATTTTGGAGTGTATTTAAGTTTCTCCTTTAGCATAAGCTTGTGGAAGATATCAAGAACACATATTCAAGATGACAACAAATATGCCTGCATACAGAAGGTGCATATTTATAACTGTATACTTTGTGCACCTGATTACTTTGCACCCATATATATATTCAGTTGAGGGTGTCTAGGCTTCAAAAATTGCCCCCTAATTAAAAATAAAACCTTAACATTGTTTGATATATGTATTACCTGCAACTTGTACTGAACATCTGCACAACAAAGGCTTTGATAATAGCCATAACACCATCTTTGGATAGGGACTAAATTGAAGGGACTGATTGAATTCTTGAAAATAGTTGGCAAAACAAAATGATGGTGTATAAGAATTAATATATTCTAAATTGAAAAAAACCACTAAGGAAGATTTTTGTAAGTGATTTGAACTATAATCAGTAAATTTCCTCTGAGTTTTTTCTCTGTAATTCATTGTCATGGGTTGGGCTGCATAAGCTTCATAATACAGGTTGCAAAGCTAAAAATATATATATATAATTACTACAAAAGCTGCATGTAGAAAAATGATGTTTATAATGTTCTGGCATGGCTTAAAAACTAGAACTGTGCTTCCCTGACTTACTCCATCTGTTTTATTCCATGGTGATGGGGAGTAAAAGGAATGAAGAGTTGCACTTCTTACAAATTAGTTTAATGTGAAGAGTTTTCCTTTAGCAATATAATTAGTTTTTACTAAGCCTAAACAAGATCATGCCTACATTCGTTCCTGCTCTTGGGCAAAAAGTATCTTTTTAAAGATTAATATGCCCAGTATGTACATTTATTAAGTAAAGAATCTCTCTCCTGTGAGTGGCTATGAAGCATAGAATAATTAATATTTTGTTAAGATTACTTTGTAGACAAAGCAGCATTTGTAAATGTTTGTTTTAGTACCAAAGCATGACTGCAGCATTATCTAACATGTTTTGTCTAACGTGACACTGCTGTTTTCTAATTACTGTGTAATTTCTTTGAAAGCTAAAGTGCCTATGTTTCAAAACAGGAACAAATCTCAGTAATGTCCTAACTGGATTGAAAACTTTTTTTTTAATGTCTTTGTCAGTGTGGTAGGTCAAAACTGTTTTTGCTGTAGTTACCAACAAACAATACATTAGACAATTGTAGTCTGAGGTTGTCTAGATCTTCTGTTCATCTGCTGATGAGAGGGAATAGTTTCCTACTTAAACATCTTGCTAATATCAGGTCAATGTAAATATTCTGTTCTAAACTATTTTTGAGTAGCTTCCATTAGCCCCTTCTATTGCACATTTGTGATGTTTAACAAGCATTTGTTTTTGAGATGTTAATTTATTTTGTTTTATAAACACCAGAACCAGTTCGAATGACCATATTGCCTCATTAAAGTATTTTGAACTTTGCATTTTTCTTATGGGTGGAACTGGTTTGAAAATAGACTATAATAGCAGTAGAAATTTAAATAAAACTTTAGAACAAAATCATACCCAACAGCATTTTAAATGCTTCTGTTTACACTGTATTGTCATTCAGGCTGATGTTATTTGGATATAGATTGGTTTCAGTTGCAGGTATTTTCAACGGACTATAGCTTTTTGAAGGAGATGAAGCAGGGTTGTCTCTTTGTTACCTGTGGTACTGCTGTGTGATTTTTAAAGGGATATGATCAACTTAATCACATGGCTGTCTGAGTTTTTCTGTATTTACTTTGTTGCTGTATGAAAACTGAGAAAATGGAAAACAAGTCAAAAGTATTGACTAAGGGAAAGTGTATTTAGCTGGACTTTTTTTGTTCCCTTAAATGTCGTGTTTTCAGGCTGAAATTTATCTTGAACTGGAATTGCACAGTGTTGGGAATTCAGCCTAAAGCTGAAAATGAACAAAAAAGTTGCCTCTTAAGTGAAATTGAGCCTTACCAAAACAGTGCTTTTAATTAGCTGTTTCTTAACAGAACTGTGAACCCTTACTTATTGGAATTTAAGGAATAACTGCTTAGGACAACTTCTGTAGAATACTTGTTTTAAAAAAACAGACAAGTCTAAAGCTACAAAATGATGATTAATCTCATTTAAAGCTGATTACACTGTATCTTTAAATAATGAATCGGTTACCTACTGCATAGAAAGAATATACTTTTGTTTCTACCATAAAATAAAAAACTTCTTAAAGGTAACTTGTTTTGCAGTTATTTGGAACGTATGAATATCCATATTTTTCAGCTACACAAGCTTGAATTTGCAAGCTCTTTATGTTTTGTACTTAATTGTTTCAGCCCAAGTTAGTACTGAGAACACAGATTAAAGGAGTTCTTCAGGCTGTCAGCAAAGTGACTAGTTACACAGTAAGAATTCACGATTTAACATGCATCTATGAAAAGTAACTGATAACACAAAACCATGAAACTCTGATATAGTTTAATGAGTTTAAAACTTTAAGACAAAACACTTCCATTAATGCACATTGTACAAATGTTCAGTAATTCCATCCTGAAGTTTTAGTTCTTAAATAGAACCAAATAAAAATATGCACACAAAACTGAAGTTTCAAACTGCTACTGGATCACACTCATTCCCAGCAACAGGAACAGTCTTTTTTGGTTCCTGAAAACCTGTGATAAAAAAAGAAGACACCACACTGATGAGTGGGATAACTAGTTTTGTTCAGTGAGTGGTAAGTATATAACTGAATATAACTGCTCAAAGTCACTTTTGTGTCACTGCATAGATGTAATGTAAATCCACTAGTAGTAAGTTCAAGGTTCTTGGACAAACATTTTAAAACAAGTGTATTTTTATACTTAATAACCTGATGAAACACTGCAAAAGACTGAATGTTTTATAGGACACACAAGTCATTTATGTCAGTTTTTCAGTTAAATATGCAATGCTGCTTGAAGACATTTACTTTTGTTGCTCATTAACAACCTACTTAAATTTTTCTTTTTTATGAAGGAGGAAAAACAGTAATAATGCTTAACAAACAGATAATGTGTAATTTATGTAGTTATTTCTGTAGCATGCAAAAATCAAGCTCTCTTTAATTTACTATTTAATTAATACCTTTATGAGCAAAAGGTAGCATTTAATGAAAGCCAGACTGAGAACTCTGGCAATTCCAAAAAACTTAAGATACGGTATGTTGTACAGAGTGAATGGGGAAAACCAGTGCAAAATATAAAAATGTACAACAATAGCCTATTTTAAGTAGAACCAGCTAATAATTTATTTTTGCACTATACTACTAGTATACCTTTTTATTTACTTTATACTTTAAGAATGCCAAATTTCATAAATGTGCACCCTTAAATGGAAAGTAAAATCAGGGAAATCTGAATATACACGTTACCAACATTAAGGTTGCTATTTAGATGAACTAAATTTTTTAATCATTTGTTTTTTTCTTTGGCTTAGAGTTGTGCAAGTGCAAAAATTCCAACACGTTTAAAAGAAGTGGTTGAACCAATCTTGCTTCCAAAA